TCTAAAGAAATTAATTAAAATTAATCGTATAATTACATTTCCCGGTTTTTATGGGAGAAAAATGATGGCGCAAAATTCTATAAATCGGACTTTAGAGCAATTTGGGTGCTAAATTTTGGAAGTAAAAACTTTGAAGGAAATTTTTTTTTATTCTCCTACAAGAATATATCTCATTGAGTGCAAAAAAACTTAAAACGGTATTATTATCGCACGTATTGATAGAAAAACAAGCCTGTTTAATTGGTCTACGGTACGGACAAAAAAACTTAACTTCCAGCGATAAAAGAGGCCAAAAACTTTTTTCTGTTGAAAAAGAAGATTGACCACTATTAGAATCGACTTTCCAAGAGTATGAGGACTTCAGAAAACATCCTGAAGTCTTGAAATAACTAAAGTCACTTTTTTACAAAACGATGGCTCCAAGAGCAAAACATACTTGATTCTACTCAGCCGCGCGCGTCGCGCGGCCGTGGCTCGACTTCCCGCCCATTTAAGTCGGTTTTCTGGCTGAACGATCAAAGATACGACCAAACGGACCAAATTTTTGCCTTATAGGCGTTAATTCGTCAATTTCACTTAGGATTGACTATCCACTCTACCAGAAATAAACATTTTCGACTGACGCCCTTTAGGGCCCTTGAGAGAGTCCTAAAAATTTTTTTAAAATTTTTTCCAAAAAACATTCTTTATTTGTACACCTCATAGCACGTTTTGAGACCTGGGGAGCTTAACTTTTCTCAAATTTCAAAAATAAGGGACACCCTAGCGAGGGGGAGATCGTCGTCAGGGCGCTTTAACTCATGAGCCCTGTCCACAACGCTCTCGTGCCATGCCTGCGGCTCATAAATCCCGCATTCAGTTGGCACATACTTCTGTTTGCTGAATTTAAAATCCTGCTTTTCCAATTCTTCAGAGGGAATCACGCCCACTGACCACATTGTTTCTTATCCAGCTTTCTAGAGCACACCCTATATTTCTCACCTGCACACTGCACATAGTTCTGTTTGATGCAAATACATCCAATTCATAGGTTTGAACATGGCAGATTAAAAATATGTACAGCTTTTTACTTTTACAGCTGTTGGAGGATACACAGACCCGCCTAGAATTTTCTAGCTGGCTGGTATAGTAGTTACGAAGTAAGACCCAAGTCAATTAAAGGCGGCGTACTTACTTTCAGACTTTTTTAGCATCTTCTTGACATCTTGAAATTCTACACTATGGTCCCATTTCTGCTGAACATCTACCACTCTCTGTGGGCCTTCGGCTTGGAACATTTCTTTGAACATGGAATAGATGAAAGTTTTGATCTCTGCATTTTCCGTTTCCTGATATTGCAACTCTGAAGGAAAGTCTGGATCGATGATTTGAGGAACTGACGGGTCGACATAATGTTGCGTTTGCCACAGGTGGCGCAACGTTCCGATCCTATCTTTGCAAACGGCTAGTTCGATTTCTTCGTCAACTCTTTTTTTTTCCAGTTTCTCAGCATTGTCTAAGGAGAACGTCAATTTATTGGAGCTTTTTTGCTTTTCAACATTTGCTTGCTTCGGCTTCTTCACAGGTGTTTTTTGGCTTTTGGTTTTGTTGAGATCTTCAGGAGCAGTCTTCTTTTGGGCAGTGACTTTATCAGTTGACTTAGATTTTTCTATTTTGGCCTTTTCTTTCTCTTGCTTTTCTCTCTCCATTTTTTCGATTTTTTCTTTTTCTTTCTCCAACTTTTCTCTTTCTTTCTTCTTGGCTGCTTCTAGTTTCAATTTAGCAACGTCCACTGCAGCGCTATGCTTGATGCTACCTTGAGAATCGTATAAATCGATTTTTATGATGGGAGAGTGGGAGCCATCATTCAAAACACAATCCATTGTTGGGCATGGCTGGCCAAGAAAATCCCTGTCGCTGACTCGTCCTGAAACAATGATGCATTTACTGTAAGTGGATGAGTTAAAACTCAAATTGATTGGAAAAAATTGCGAGATTCATGTATATAGTAAAATTTAGTGACAGTTATAAATAACTGCGTCTAGTGAACAACTCCTGAACTGATTTTCTGAACTGAATTTTTTTTTGAAAGGTAGGAAGGACAGATAAAAGACCACCGGGTGATTTAACAACTTAGTTTGTTATTTTTTTTAAAATCAAAATTTGAGTTAATAATTGATAGTGCTCTCACCATTGATGTACAATTAAAAGAGGGTTGCTTATTTCATAGTTTCAAGATTCCTCCTTCTTTTTTTACTTCAGCTATGTACACTTCCTTTAGCATTTCTATTTCTGCTCCACTAACCCTCAAGGGGGCCTTCGTACGCCTTTATCACAGGTCAGTTAGAGGAATTAGACTAAAAAGGAATGTAACATTCCAGCCCTTCGCAATCTCTTTGTAGAAGCCATATTATTAAAAAAAGAGCTTATTGTAGAAAGACACACTTTTTAGAAGAACCCTTTAGGTTTAAAATCAGAAATAGACTTTTTGACAGAAAACTCTCTCATGTCTTACGGAAAAAGTTGTGAATAGTTCATCTTATTTTGAAACCACTGGGTGGAATACTTAAAATTGCGAAAATTTTTACCCCTGCTCACTTTAAATTGCTTTTTCGTAAAACTGAGACAAGAAGTGTCTGTCATAACTTTGGTTTAATTTCACATTTTCGAGAGTTCACGTGCCAAATTGTTTATGGAATTCTCCTCTGTGCTAAGTGCCGATAACATAATTTAACCGGTAATTTTCTTGAGGGCCCAAGTGCTAGAATCCAAACCTTCGGAGAGAGGGGAAAAAAGTGTGCCATTAGACGCGCGTTCAACCTTTTAACCCTGTTATAAAAGGTGTTTTTCAGAAACGTATACATTTTTTGGACTCAAAGGACTGAGCGCACACCAAATGGCACACTACTTTTCTTAAAAAAATTTTTCAAAATTTGAATTTTCGTGCTTGGGCCCTCAAGAAAGATATCAGTTAAATTAGACGTTGTTCAGCACTAAAATTTCTCTATTCTCTTATCATGGCCTATTGCATTTACTTTAGAGATCTAATTAAATTACCTGTTGAGCCTGTCACTTTGCTTTCCTTGTAGGCTTTCCAACAATTCACATGATACTCCACATCACACTTCTCCTGACAAACAACAACAATGTACCCAGAAAAGTCAGGATCGTTGCTAAATATATACTTGGAGGGATAAATGTGGGAACTGAGATCCGAGCAGCTTTCGAAACGACAGACAGCTACCGGGTTATGCTGAGTCAAACGACAATCCGACTCCAATTTCTTGGACTCTGCCAATAAATTCTCGAGCTGCGTTTCAGGAATGATGACATCCGTTCCAGGATAGAAGTAACTTTCTAGTGTGACCACGTCTTTCTTCAGAGTGGAATGTAACTCTTCAAGTTTTTCTTCAGCAATTTTAAACCTGCAAAACACATAGAGCTAGTATGAGAAGTAACATCAACGATAGGAAAGGCATGGTAAAATTTAGGACTTATGAAAAAGCGGTAGGAACTTTGAAAGAGATGGAAAAAAAGCGCAGAAAGCAGTGATGAACATTTGGGAAGCGGATAGTTGACTTCGCATTGTGCTTAAAGTAGAAAAATTAAACTAGCATTTGTACTAAAACTAGAAAAATGAAAATGAAGAGAGAACATTTCGTTCAAATATCTACCAGTATATTGAAAATACAAAAAGGTAACAGAGTAAATGTTCATTGACGAAGGGGCATAGGAGGAGAGCAAGACGTAAACAGATCCTGATTGGTAAACTTCATTTTGCAGCGCTAGTTAATCTCAGGGGAAAGCCCAACATTCTCTCTCAAAAAGCTTTGATACCTTGCAGCAAAAACCAAGATCCAAGAAGAGAGAAAAAAAGAAATCTTCCTCCTTCCAAAGCAGTTGGCTACTAATTCATTAAAGAAAATCGTAGGTCTCTATTTCGCTAGGGTCAACAATTTTCGAATGAATAAGCAGAAGATGGTCATTCCTTTATTCTTGAATATTTCTGTACTGCTTATCTTTTGAAATTCTACTGCCTTGTGTGTTCTAATCTAATTTCATAATAAAATCTGATAAGGATCTAATCTGATATTTTCTGGGTTTCTTTCCCTGTCATGTTTTGTACAGTAAAAAATATTAGGACAAGGAACTTGGGTGAGTGCTGTGTTTTAATCCTCATTTCCATTTCTCACTTTGCCCATGCACATGTCAGTTAATTCAAGCTTTGAGATAGTTGCCTGAAGCATAATGTTGAAATAACTTAAGACTGAAATTTGTTTTCTTGTGATTGTGTTTATGAAAAGTGGGCCTTAATGGCAACAAACAGACAGCTCAAAATTACAGAGTACATCCCATGGTTTAAAGAGGTAGGCTACAAAGATTCCAGCACAACAAATTAAAAATACCTCAGTTGATGAAATTGAAAAAATGGAGCTAAGTAGGTATGGGGGTTTGAAGTTTGCAGAACAGAAAATGTTATTTTGCAGAGCAAAACTCTTCAACATTCAACTTCCCACTTTTGAGGCAGATGACATTCAGATTAAAATTTATCCTTATGCCTTGGATGAAAATGAACTTAACTGCTAGTGACTTAGATTCTGAAATAAAAAAGTGCATTTTTCCTTAGAGCTTCAATAATTTAACGAAATATTTGCTAATCAATTTACTAAGCTCTCTTTTCTGATGGACAATCAATTTTCTTTTAAATACCTGTTTAATTTATGACACGCAACTGCAAGAAGATATTTGATGGCTGGTAATCTGGAGACCATGTTGGGTGGGATGGAATTCAGTTCATTGATGGCTAAAACTAGATTATCATAAGTGCCTGATTTGATGTAGGCAGCGCACAAGGTGTAAGTGAAAACAACCGCATCCATTGCAGGGGAACATGCAGCCTGGAAGAATGTAAAAATGAATGAATGAAAAATATGATCCTGATTTAACTTGATCATCTTATCACCGTCGCAGTGGAATCAAGTGAGTATGCAATGCAAATTGGACGTATTTGCGTATATGGGATGGAATTCAGTTCATTGATGGCTAAAACTAGATTATCATAAGTGCCTGATTTGATGTAGGCAGCGCACAAGGTGTAAGTGAAAACAACCGCATCCATTGCAGGGGAACATGCAGCCTGGAAGAATGTAAAAATGAATGAATGAAAAATATGATCCTGATTTAACTTGATCATCTTATCACCGTCGCAGTGGAATCAAGTGAGTATGCAATGCAAATTGGACGTATTTGCGCTAAAAGGAACCATAAGAGGGTTTGCGTGTAACATTGTTCATTTTAGTATAATACGTTAAATTCAACTACATGTTTGGTGAAACTCCCATACCACAAATCTCTCTTGCGGTGGCTTAATATCTCTACCGAGTCGCGTTTAAACTCGGGTGCTGGGCGGTCATTTGCGTGATCGCTTTCACTCCAAGTTCTCTTTATTGCTGCTCCGTCGTGTTTCATCGCTTCAATTGTGCTCCATCCAGTTTAGAAACAAGTTTTACACCCTATAAGCTTAGAAACATCCGTGTGCTACTATCTGAACTCAAGATTTCTATCCTTTAAAACCATAATTTTAGTAATTTTTGTGCACCATCTTGGGTTTAGCCAACAGTGCTTATTGATAATGATGTGATAAGTGGCACTCGGGAACTATCACATCTTAGATTAGACTTCTTCGTTACGTAAGACCTATACGCGACTCAAGTGAAGGCTGTGACTCTTTGCTGCTGCTAGAAGGTGTGAGAGGGGGAAGAGCGTTGTTTGCTCATAGGAAGGGGATATGCCGGTTTTATTGAATGAAGTTTTGGCCACTTCCCCGGCTTCCCACAACTATGTGTGTCCAATTAGGCCAGCGTTTCGACTCTACTTGAGGACTCAAGGTGACGGTGGAGGGGAACGACTGACATGCGAGGAACGTGACTAACTGACTAACTTTAGAGGCGGTGGAGCATGGACGGACGGTCCCAACACCAACGCTAGGCCCATATCGGACGGCGGGATTTTCCTGTGTGCGCCGGTCGGCGAAAAAGCGGCCTTAATTTAGAACTTGCTGCTGCTTATTAATTTTTATGTTTAACCTTATTTTAGAACCATGAGCTCTGGTCTGGGGATGCATCTTCCCGGGGGGAGATTGGGGGGTCCGGGGGGCTTGAGCGGTCTTGAACGTAAGACTTGGGCACCTAGTTTCCGTAAAGGCAGGGCCCTTGTCTCTCTCCGGGGTGCGCTTCTTTGGGCCATCTCTATCTTTACTCATTTTTATAAATTGTATTTCTTCATCTTAGAAATTTATCAGACTACTCGGTCGTCTGTTTTTTCCGTTTATATATTTTAGAAACAAAGTGTATACTCCTGTTAAGAAGGTCACTTACAAATAAAGAAAAAAAAAAAAAATATCTCTACCCCTATTTTTCTTTTTTCCAGGAGAGGAAATTAACACCATTCCTTGAAGTTTTCACAGAATTTTCTTCGCACAGAAAAGATAAGTCTTGACAGTATTAAAGAATTCCGATTGAGTAGTTTTCCATTTTGAAAATAATGTGGGACAAAAAGTCTACAATATCGCAAAACAAGATACATGGTTTCTGAGTTTCGCTGTCAATACGTCATGTTGGAAGATGTTTATTTTATTTTCATTCATGAAGTATAAACATTTCTTTTTCACTACCACTATAATATTTTACTGCATTAGCTTAGCAGACTTTGAACGCATCAAAATTACCTGAGAAACATTTTTTGAAACATCCTTTGCCGCTTTCAAATTCTGGATGGCTTTCAAGAAATTGTTAGCAATCAGAGCATTTGATCCATTCTTCAAATAATTAGGCGGCTAAAAACAATGAGAAATTGATTAGTTAGAGAAAGTGGATTTTCAAAACCTAACATATAATACAAATTGCCAGACCACTATTTCTTCTCATAAATGAAGAGGGATAAACACAAATTCCGATCAGACATTGAAATAGGTAAAAAGAGTTAAATCTAAATTTAAAGAGAACACAAGATGATCAAGACTTCTGTACAAAAAATATGATATTTTCTATCAAACACTTTAGGGCAGTCTTGATAAATATGATGATCAATCCTTATTACTACATAGTTTAATTACTACACTGAGAACATTTTTGAGACATACATAAAGTGTTTTGTTGTGATGGTATGCAATAAAATTAATACAATTTTTTTTTGATGGCCAAGACAGGAAAGTTGCATTAAGGTGCACCCAGTGTCATAGTCACCGGACAAGCCAGCTCAAATACAGTCAATATTTCTGCAATTTCAAGGAATTGTACAGTTTTGAAACGCAGGAACACAACGTCACAACGTCCTCCTGTCCAAAAAATCACAAGCGCCATGAATGCTTAGGCAGTATGTTACCAATCACAGAATCCCTAGTAAATTCAAAAATTCTAATATTTTTTTTGTCATCCGGACTATCCTAGAAATTTTCATGGAGGTACGTGCAAAATTTTAAAGAAAAAATTGAAGCAATATTGAAACGTGTGGGCAACATGGCATCTAAACGTAAATAGCGCTTGTAGTATTTTGGCCAGGAGGGGATGACATTTGTTTCATCCTATAACCGATGTCATTATTTTACAAACCTCATTCTTGGTATCAGTGTCGTCTGAATTTTGATCCGAGTTTGTTCTAAGCCTCTTCTTGAGGTTTGATACTTGAGAATTTTCAAGGGGGACAGTATCGCTGGACGGATCTGACTGACAGCTTGACACTGTATCAGCCCTTTTTCTTGATTTCTTCTTACTTTTACTTTGTCCTGGGTCGACACTGGCACCTTTCTGTAAAACACAATTAATATATTATCAATAACCATTTAAACGAAGTCAGTAAAACATAGGGGGGGAGAAAACCTGCAAAATAATCAACTAAAAAGCCGAGCAACAGAATTCTCAAGATCATTTAGGTTCAAGGGCCTCAAAAATTAACGAGAAAAATATTCTTTCACATCTTTGCAATTTTTTTGCTTTTTGAAGGAGATAATTAAGATAATTTCCTCAATCCTCATAAAATTTCTTTGTTCCTTAAAAAGGTAAAAAAAAAGCAGGCTGAGCAAAAAAATTAAAAAATTAGAACACTTTTAGGTTTTTTCTGATTTTTCACTTAAAATAACCTGATTTTTTTTAAAAAAAAAATTTCCCCCCGCTACCCAAGGTACACTCTACTACAGGTATGGACAAACGGGGTGCTGAAGTGGCAGCGCTGAGAATATAGGCCATCGAGTGACGCCGCAAGTTGTACCGTCTTTGCCGCGCAGTTCAAAATGATCCTCGAAGGGGTTCTGGCAGATCTGGTGGCTTCAATAAGTTATCAGATGAATTTAAAAAATTGATTTAACTCAAAATAACAAAAAATTTAACTAAGGACACGAAAAAATAACACAAAATTGACAAGACCCACTCTCTGAACAGAAAGTAAGCAAGTTTTCCATATGGCGTCGCAAAGTACCATTAGACACTGTCAAATCTACGCGTTTCGACGACTTTCTAAAATTCCATTTGTCCATACCTGTAGTAGAGTGTACCTTGCCTGCTACCAGCATTTTCCACACTTCTTGTGTCTACTTGGTGTAGGGCAATGTACATTACAAAAAACTATGATTAATTACATAAATCCATGTATTCTTGTTGAATCTTTTAGACACTTTTTATTTTTAAAGAAGTTTGTGAGAGAAAGAATTAAAAAGAAGACTACCAGACTACGTAAGGAATTCAACTTTCATCGCAATCCAGCCCACGTCCTCAAAAAGATGGCAAGCATGCGTCATAGACTATTAGAACCAGGGGAAAGGAAAGGAGAGACAAATGTCACACTGACCAAAATGCATCCATCATCAGGTGGCCCATTGGTTACCACATAAATCTATGTGGAATGGTGCCATTCTCTGATGTGACATTTGTCTCTCTTCTTTCTCCCATTCTAAACGATGAACAAAGAAAGCAAAAATCTTGTGTGACTGTTTCATTGATGTAATATGAATCAAGGTGGAAAGTAAAAAACTCACATTTGCGACTTGTTTTGATCCTGCTTTTGAACTGGTATTTGGTGCACTGCCTTTGGATTCATCTTTTGATTCTTTACCAGATTCCTTTTCTGAAATGGCTTGGGCAATTTTCTGAGCTATTATACCTGAGACTTTTGATTCTTTTTGACTTGACACATTGGAACTTTTAGCAGGTTTTCTGGTAGGTTTCGCAAATACTCCAAAATTTTCAGCATTGACCTTCATCTGAGTTGACAGTTGACTTTCAATGGCATTTTGAAAGATTTTATTGAAGTCTCCAAGCACATCACTTTTCTTTCCTTTTGATTTAGTTGCCATTTTTTCGAACAAATTTGTAGATTGTGCGGCAATTTTTGCTGTTTTCTTATGAGCATCTTTCTCGGCTTTAGTAAGGGGTGTTGAGAAGTGTTCCGAAATTTCTTTATGTCTCTCATTAGCATTACCGGAGAATTGTTTGTTGAAAAAATCCTGGAACAATGAAAAGCATTTTAAAAAACGCGTAGTAAAAAGGAAACACAGGAAATAAAATAAAATATGAACAGTAAACGAAAATATAAAATGGCAAACATGGGGCACAATGGGTAAACAATGCAATTCTATGTACTTGCATTTTTTTTTTTTTTTACATTCATAATGACTTAACAACTATCAGCAGTAACAGTTTTGAAAACAAGCAATCATTATTGAAAATTGTGCTATGATAGCGACTAACACTTTTTGTTCTTTTGGAGGCCGATAGATTATATTCACTTCTCATTTCTCAGAAAATTTCTCTAAAATTCGTAATGTTGCTTCTTTGTCTTTGTCCACGAATATTTAATTCCTCATGAAGTTACAGAAAAATTGTCTTGTCTTGGCAACATTGCAGAGGAAACGGTAAGTTCCAAAATTATTGATTTGCGCTTGATTTTCCCAGAGGGACATATTTAACCAAATTGCATTTTATATTGCTAATTTCCCCTCATGTTACCTTTGAGACAAAAAAAAAAAAAAACGGGAGGGGATTAAAAAACATATGTATTGTCTTAAAACTCTCCGTGAATTATTTCTAGGTCATAAAGAATATATTCATAAAATTTCAAAGCAGAAAATTACTTGGTTTTTTTTGTTTAACCAATAAATTGGACAATATTTTGCAATAAGGAACTACTATTCCTGGTTCATTAAAGATTCATTTATTACACTAATTTCTGGTTATTACATAAGCTATTAGTTATGCAGGTAGGTGATTTAACAATGATTTTTGTGAGCCTGAGATAGTGGTTTCTTATTGCAAAATGCAGTTTGTTGGGCCACTAGACAAGGTACGACTAAAGATTTTGACCAAAAAATCAAGTGACAAAACAAAAGTAGGGCAATTTTATGACTTTCATATTATTATACAACTGAAATGAAAATTAAACAGTATGATATCACTTTACATGATTATATGATCTGTAGACTCTAAACTAACAACTGCACTCCATGCTACTGGACTCCTACAAAGGAAAACTTGCCCTTCTCCCCTCCTTCCAAGGGATTTGTCCAGCTACGTCAAAGTTAACAGCATAACTGAAATTAGTATGTAGCTTTTTATATCAATACTGACCGCTATTTTATGTTGAAAATCGGCCATTCCAGTATCATCATCGGACACATCATCAGTTGATTCAGACTCGCTGGTATAATCAGAGAGACCAAGCAAATCATCATCATGATAATGGATGTGATCATCATCATCATCATCATCATTATCATCATCATAATCATCATCGTTGTCATCTTCTTCTTCTTCTTCAGCAGACTCATCAGAATAAGTGCAATAATCATCATCTTCATCATCCTCATGTTCGCTTTCTTCAGGGTCCTCTGACCTTCCGCCCACTGAGATAGAAGTGCAAAAAGAATCAACCAGATTTTCAATCTCTTCTTCCGAAATGGCAATTGTTGAAGGGACTCCTTGCATGAGAAGATCTGCTGATCCCTGTTAAATATGACACAGATGTTTATCAAACTAATTGATGAGAAGTGGGACAGGAGAAATACCATTCTATTTGTTGCCTATGGCAGCTGTGCCATGACACCAATGTGTCAAAGTTGAATCCTTGTTGAAGAATAAAAAATTAGAAAGGGAAAAACTACTGTGCTGAGAGAGAATGCTGCATGAGCTTTCAAGCGTCGCTAAAATTTCCTTGGAAAAATGAAGGATTTTCAGGAAAATTTGTAAATATTTTTCTCCCGATTGTTCATAGGATTTTGTTGGTAATTTGATCTTAAAAGTTCGAAAATTTCAAGGGAAATGTTTAAAAATCTCTTCAAAAATACATCATTTCTGAGAGGCAATTTGGCAACAGTCACTCATACAGCATTTTCACTTGGTAAGGCATAGGGATGTCGATACTTAACCGATACTTCCAAAGTATCGATACTTCTGATCGATACCCATCGATACTTAACGATATCCATACCATGTGGTATCGGTCCTCAGACCCCAATATCGATGGTATCGATACTTAATCTAAATTGGTCATGAAGAAGGCCTCTTTTTCTTTTTTAACAAGAGTGAAGTTCTTACAAAAGAAAAAGAGGCCTTCACTCTCTTCTATTTCACCTTCACTCTGCACTGAGACAAACGACGGAGTAATCAGGTTTCACAAGATGATTACTTTCGTTAAAAATGTTAAAGGGTCGGTTCGATAACAGTTGTAAAGGGCTCATAATAGTTGACTAAGCACGCGAATAAGGGCGGTTTCGAGAGAGGCGTAAATCTGACGGAATTTGACGGCCGACAGACATACGCACACTCCGAATTATGGCATAAATCAGAAATAGTATTGGTGGTATCGATACCTCAAAAAGTATAGATACTTCAGCTCGATGCTCGATACCGGTTTCGATGCTTAGAGTGGATACCAGTATCGATACCGAGTATCGATACTTCCCTGAGTATCGACATCCCTAGTAAGGCATAGCAGTGCAGGGATGCAAAAAGTATCCAGCATTCCCATTTCAAATACTCCTCCATTCTTGAAATTTACAAAGTGATGAATTTTTACTGCTTATCTAGTTTTGATTTGACTCGTAGTTTATATTTTGCAGTAATTTTGTGACAAGCACAATTTTCACCTCTCATAAGAGAACTACACTCAATTTGCACCGAAATTTTTTTAAAAGCTTGATTTTTGCAAAAGAATGCACTGGTTTTCGGATTTTGCACAGCTTTCCCATTTTTTCGTACTATAGCTAGAATGTTGGCAGGGTCAGGAAGCTTTTGCACTTCAGTTATTATATCGTGTCTACAAGGATGGAAAAGAAAGGAGAGAATTCAGTCAGCCAGACGTTTCATTTCAGAATTTGAATTTCGTCCACAGAGGACATTGTTTCGCTAGTTTCTGAGTCAAACACTGAAAAGAAGGCTCATGTAAATAATAAGAAATATAAAAGATGATGAATATTTACTTACAGAGACTATATCAAAAAACAATTCCAAAACTGACCGAACATCGTTCGATCTACCAATAACTTCTACTTGATTTCCTTTATCCCTCAAAGATGGAAAATTTATTCTAGTTTTGGAGAATGCTTCAATTTTTTTGACTAGAGCACCATTGTATCGCATCAACACCGCGTGACAGGATTTCGGGAGCAGAATGGTCTTAGCGTTGCAAATCTGAAACAAGCAACAAATGGTTACTTACCAAATACAACCTTGAAGTTCCTTCAGATGAATTCAGTCAAAATCTTACACTTACCAAGGTATCTACTAGTACGTCATCATCTAAAATCTTTGCTTTTTTATTTCTTTTTCCTCACTTTAGCCTTATTACCTGACGCGCATTTTGAACTTTGATGAGGACAGACTTTTACAAAGATCACAGTAAGTAATTCGGATTCAAAAAGTGGAAATTTTGGAGCAATGAACTGAATTACAGCAGAATCTACCTATCATCCTGCAGGAATGTGATACAATTAAGTATGAATAGAAATTGCATACCTTCACCGATACTCCACAGGGTGTCTAGAATTCTTAATCATACTCATTCCCTGATTTCCAGAGGCTTATTCCTCAGTGACTAGTGCCCTTTGCACACGTTGCAAGTGTTTTACTGAAAGTGGGGGTCATCGGTGCATCACTCATCGATGATCGTGAAATGTGTTGCAAAAACCCTCATTGATGATCGTCAAATTTGCAGGGCCCGCTCAAATTTACGATCATTGATGAGTGATGCACTGAAGACCCCCACTTTCAACTTAAAACTTGCAACGTGTGCAAAGGGCACAAACGAAGTTTTGTTCCATATCCCTTTGCTTGGGAAAAACTATGTAATTCCCTTTAGATTCAGGTATGAATATCTATTTTTTTTCCAGCAGATTAGTTGGCGCAAATTCAAATGTTCAATTCCAACAGCATTTTAGATGTTTAGGTATATTTCCTGATAGCTTCTCTATTTTGATGATTTGAGGATTCAAATATCGACGATGAAACTACCAGACCACGTATCTCAGTTTGCGACGTTGTAGACTTCCTGGCATACTTTATTTTTTACATGGAAAACCACTCAACATCAATTTTTGAAAACTTCAACAATTATTCCTCTCCTTGCAACGAAAGCTGTGTGAAAACTGAAAGGAATGAAATCGATTTGTTCTCGGTCAAAAAAATAAAATAGGAGCAGAGATTTTTAAACACCGCATACGAGATACGTAGTCTGGTAGTTTCACCTTCGATATGTCATTCAAGCAGCTAATAATGGTGCCTCAGATACATTAACATAAGCTCTATCCGGTGGAAGAGGAGATTTGTGGTTTCTGGAACAGTTTAGCTAATTTTCCATAAAATAATTAATTCTCTGATGAATACCGGTTAGTCTCAGTCCGAGAGAGCATGCTCTTTCGATAAGTTTAACACAAAAATCTCATGAAAAATCCGTGCAATTTCTGTACTTCCATACCGACCTTTCGGAATCCAGGCTTTTATTGTATGGTGGACACCCTGATTTACACAATATTCTCTTAAACTGACAATGCAGCTGGGAGAGGGACAATTTGGAAAAAGGCCTTACTTCTGACTTGCTAATTCCAAGTATGCTGATCCCTAAAATACATACTTTCAACAACTAATGTTGAATTCGGTCCAACTAACTAACCTTTCCATTGCGGTTGATTGTGTATAGGCTGGAATTGAGCTTCTTATTCAGCTCATCCATTGTCATGCCACCCTCCATGACTCCTGTAAAAAAAGAAAAGATTCTGTTAATTTCTAAAGAGGAAAGTTAGGCAGAAAACTCGATCACTGTCTCATGTGGACATTCTTTTATTTGATAAATAATGAAATTTTCCGGTACTCACTTTTCAGTGATATTTTTACTTACGCAAGACACGTTTCGGAACTTAAAGCTACGTTCCATAATCTTTCATTGAGGCATCATTGAATATTATTATTACGCAGTTTATTACCAACTTTAATACTTGAGGAATAAGGAAACCATAAGGTTGTTGGTAAATTAAAAAAAAAAAATGCATTTATATAACTGTATGTCTATAGTAGAATATCGACAGTGTAAGTTGGCAATCACATAACTCGGTTTGCGATGCTGCAGACTCCCTGTCGTACTTTATTTCTTAAATGGAAAACTACTCAACAGCAATTCTTTAAAACTGCCGTGATTTTTCTCCTCTGTGCAAAGAAAATTCTGCAGAAACTTCAAGGAGTGATGTCAACTTGTTCTCCTTAAAAAATAACATAGAGGCTGAGATTTTCAGACACCGCAAACGAGATATGTGATTACCGGCTTACACCGTCGATAAGCTCTGTTCAGAGGCTGTTGGACGGCAGTTAAAACTGAACATATCATTTGGAGCCGTAGAATTCCACAGTTGTTTCTGATGCGACTGTTGAGAGTTTTCTGGAGCTACCAACTCTAAAAGGTATTGAATGACATTTGCAAGTCATACAGTCTTTTCCCTTCATTAATGTAAGCTAAGTTGGCCCGGTAAAAAGACTCATTGATGAACAATGCAGCAGTCTCAAGAGATATTAAATAAATTTTTACAAAAAATTGGCGGTTGCTGCAGAGAGAAGTAAATGTTTTACCTGCTGATGAGCAAACAAGCTTTGAACATCCGACAGTTAATTTGGTATGAAGGAGTGCATACCAAACGTGTTGTTGGTGTTTAAACCATGTGTTTAAAAACGTACTTTTCATCACAATTCTTGCGGTAAGCCCAGCAATCAATCGTGTAAGTCCGCAGCAAAAACATTGAATCACGTAAACCGTGCATCCTCTGTTACATAAGGCTAGACAACTTTCAAGAATTCGCATGCCGATGAGTGTTGGCACCGACCTGCATCGATGAGTTTGTGTGTCCCAATTGCGCACGCGCCGTAGCGGCTCTAGTGAATTTTGGTCGGAATGTGAGGATTTTTTTCTCGGTTGATAATTAGTTCGGAAAAATGAAACATTGCTATTTGGTTGTGAAATTATTTGTTCAAAAACTTTTCTTCTTAGGAATTTTGTCTGAAAATGGACAAAAAAACGAGATGTTCTCAAAAAACCGAGCGCACCGATGGATTCTCCATTGCTTCTTTGTAGTCCCTTCAACCGCTTGGGACACACACTCTCTCCCCTTTCCTGCCTGCCCATCATTGGGCTCTGAGAAGCATGTCTCGCTTCGCTTGTGCAATATCAAGCCGGACGCACGGTCTACATGATTCAGTGTCTTTGGTCCGCAGCCATGTCTCTTGGTTTGTGACATGGCAAATTCCTGTCAAGCATCATCTTCTAAACAGAAAACTATTCAACGGCAATTCTCAAAAACTGCTATGATTTTTCTCCTTGGTACAAAGGAAATTCTGAAAAAATTTCAAGGAATAATGTCAACATGTTCTCCTTAAGAAAGCAAAAACAAGGAGCACAGCTTTTCAAACATTGCAAACGAGATATGCGATTGCTGACTTACACAGTCGGTGCATGTAATCTCTACCAAAATCAAATCGAACCCACAAGATAGTTCTCATTACGTCTTTACCCATACGAAACAATGATATAGTTTTAAGTGGACATATTTCTGTCAAACGGACCTAAGCGCCACAGAAAGAGGAAGGTAGAGGGGGGCTTGGATTGGCGGCGGAATTGGGCGTCCGATTTATTCCGTCCTAAACTCGCAATGCTTTTCCATGGCGCTTAGGTCCATTTGACAGGACGGGCTATCCGGGATTTTAAATTCCTCAAAAGGAACTCAAATTGGCACTTAGTTCTGTTTGATAGAAATACGTCCAAGTGATTGTGTTTGCCTGAAGAGACTCAGTCAGACTCAGATATGTTGGCTCTGCTGAAGATTAAGAGACAAATAAAGTGAAGTCATAAATTTCAATATTAGATGCGGTACCCACCGACTCACGTTAAGTTCCCCTGCAGTCAGACTGTCGTGTTGAATACGCGAGGGATGAGTTGATTCAGGGAAGAAAGGCGAGTCTGGCGAGTGAAATGTGAGCTGGAAAACTGAAGGCAATGTTGAAATACGGGACGCCAAATCATCGAGAATGATGAGAATTTCCAGCTTCTGTGAATAGAAAAAGTAACAACGATAAAGAAGCTGTCAGGCGATCTGATATGAGATACAATCACGTTACAGTACAGATAACAGATACTTTTCTTGGCAGTGTGGAATTGAGGATGGAATGCTCGTTGACAGAAGCCAGAATTGAGGTTAGAAACGTTGTAGAGATTTGAATGGGTCACGTGATCGGAAAGTTGGCTGGCTGCAGAAGCCCTTGAATTGAAGGCGATTTATCCTCCGTAAATCTTCGTTTTTCTTGGGACAATTTTAAGTTCCGTGTAGCGTAACAAATAATTAATCATATGCACATAATCATATGCATATAAGAGGATCTCGGAAAATTTCTAAAACTCCTTTGAACAGGAAAATCTTCGCAAAAATATTAAAAGAAGCTCGTTCTCCAAGTAAAGTCAACTTTACCGGAAAAATGGTGAGTGATCAGAAAAATCTAAGGTCATATTAGGATTTAGCAGTTCAAAAAACATAAGGATCTATATATCACATATTGATTACATTTTTAAAATGTATTTTTAATACACCTTAAGTCAGGGAAAGCTTTTGCACACATTTGGGCTCGGAAAAATCGGCTTTACCGGAAAATTGAAGGATTATGTAAGAGACAACTGAGGTCGTATTCGGATTCAGCAGCTTAAAATACATAAAAATCACTCCACCACGTGCCCAGGAAAATTTATTAAAATGAATTGGATGCATGAAAAAAACTACGTCAAATTTGCTAACTTTCCCGGGAAAAAATACCTTTCTCGGAAATCCGAGAAGTGGTAGGAATAAGGAAGGGTCATATTTTTAACGGCTCAAAATACATCGGAATAGTCCTACTTTGTTCCTGATAAAAATACCTACATTCTGCAAGGGACAACAGTCACAAAAACATGAAAAATGCCCATTTTCCCCGGTAAGATGAACTTTTCCAGAAAATTGGTGGGCGATGGCAAAAAATGGAGGTCACAATCGGATTCAGCGCCTCAAAATACAAGGGGCTCACATGAAGGTACTTAATAAAGATGAAGTCATCGGAGTGCTGAATTTTGATCCGTTAAATTGTACTACAAAGGAAAAATTGGACAAGGTTTTGCAATGAGTAACTACCATTTCTGGCTCGTCAATGAATGCACCTATCTGATGCCTAGAGAAAATTAAGGGTGCACACGGACTATATTTGGCAATTAAGAGCTAGCGTAACCCTAGTAGAGGCAACGATAGTTAAAAACCTTTTTTTAAAAAATCATAAATTTTCAAAGAACAACCATTGAAAGAAACTGTTAAAATGTGCATTTTAGGAAATCCTCATTGGGTATATTTCTAGGGTAAATCTACCGGCGGTGGACTCTAACCGAAAATGGAGTAAAACAGTGCTTAAACACCTTTAAAATATTAACTGTAGTTTTTCAACACTAAACTTGCTTTAAAAAATGCAAAAACTTTTAAAAAAGTAACGACTGTTTAAGAGACATAAATGTACCTCAATTTCACAGAAAGTTAAATTTACCTTTGAAGAAGAGTCAAAAAAGGTTTCCTAAAACGATGATTTTTAAGAATTTTTGAAATTGTCTTTTTAAAGTTCATTGCTGCTAGGGGAGACTCGTTTCGGGGACTCCTTGTTAAGTGCCACTGATTTCTCCACATACAGGTAACTGTTTCCGTGGATGAGCCAGAAATATTAGTTTCTTATACTGCCGTGCAAAGGAAACTCGCCGTATGAACATTCGAGAGTTGCCAAATTTCGACGGGTAAAATGTTAAATTTTGAGGAAGGTTCTGAATATTTTCCCTTGAAATTTTCAGAGGGTTTAGATCTGATGGTGAACAAAATTATCTGAAAAATCGGAGGAAAAATATTCCCAGATTTTCCTGCAAATTAATGTTTTATCAAAGGAAATTTGGCGACGTCTGAAGACTCATACGGCATTTTCCCCTAACCGGCAGTATAGCAAAATGTAATTTCCAGGGGAAGGGGGATAGCAGCTGAAACCGAGCTTTCGAAACAGAGAACCAATATTTCTGCTTTATCTATAAAATCACCTACCTACACAGCAAAGCTAATGCCACATATCGACGGTGAAATTTCTGAACCACGTAGGTAACTCGTTTGCGGTGTTCTAAAATCTCCGAGTCCATTTCCTTTTTTCGAAGGAGAACAAATCAACATCATTCCGTGAAGTTTTCGCAGAGTCTTCTTCGCACAGAGGAGAAGAAAAATCACGGAAGATTTAAGGAATCAATGTCGGGTCGTTTTCCATTCAAAAAGAAAAAATGACAGGATCTGAAATGTCGCAAAGTAAGATACGTGGTTTGGGATTTTCACCATCGATGGGTATGTTGTTTCTACAAGAACCAGAAGTAGCAGTTCCTTACTGCAAAATGTAGTCCAGTTGAGGAATGATGACTCAGGGGAAGAGAATTCGGGGGATGGCAGAAATAGAGGCGTCGTCGGACGGGCCCCAGATGAAATCGTCGCCCGGCTCACAGAAGGGCGTAACTGCACATTCAGATGAGCCCGGAAAAGCATTAAATTCTACGGACGACAAGGCTCATTGCAGAGTGCAGTTACGCCCTTATGTTGGAGGGGCGACGAAATAAAACAAATCTACAATCATAATAAACACTGGGGAACAGAGTACGAAGGACGGAAGCCTCGGAATTAATCTCGGTGGCAAAAGGACGTAAGTGCATAGCGCGAGGACCCCCTCGTGGGCATTATTCTAGTCTTGGGCGAAGATGGGGTTAAGACGTTTGAGCGGGGAAGCGCTGAAAGAGGGGCGCAGGGCCACGAGGGGGCAAAAAAGGAGAGGAACAAAATGGCTGAAGAAAGTGAAGCGAAAGAAGGGAGCTCGTAGTCATGACGACCGTTGGTTGGCGGTTCCTTCGCTATCTCGTTACTTGCCTCCCTGCAGGGAGCAAAGCGCCACCTCTCCGACTTACATCTTCCGGGAGTCCTCGCCCCTTCACCCCTTCGCCCCTTAGTCCCTTCGCGCACTCAACTCGACCGCACTCCGCCCGTGCGAGGTAACCAGAGATGGAGAATCTCGTGAAATACAGGGTGATCCCAGGTTAAACCGCCAGAGTCCACACACTGAAAAAAATGTATGCACTCACGCTTCACTGGAAAAAAAACACATTGGATCTAGAGTCCAGACTCTTAAAAACATCGACAAGAAAAAATACTCTTGATTCAATCAGATTTAAGCTTGAATCAAGAACCAAGCCTCTTAATTTGAGCGGATTTCCTTTTGATTTAAGCTTAAATCTGATTGAATCAAGAGTCCTTCTTCTTGTCAATGTTTTCAAGAGTCTGGACTCTAGATCCAATGTGTTTTTTTCTTTTTTTTTTTCTTCAGTGTTCATAAATTATGAGTCGGGGCCACATACGGACTGTGAAAAATTTGATGCCGACCTATGAATAGAGATCCAGTCCATTTTAGTACGAACAAATATTACATAAAAAGAGTATGTACTCTGAGTCCACCGTATGGACCCAGCGTCTACACCGCATGGAACCAGCGTGTACGCCGTCAGGACCCAGCGTCCATACTGTATGAACGGTAAGTTCATACACTTGCTTTTCCGCACGACATGTTTACGGCACATCTCTGCTCTAGTCGTGAAAGCCAGACCGTATGTGCGAGGAGCAGTTCATACCTTCGATTTTCCAAGCAGTATGGACTCTCACCACATAACCATTTATTTCAGAGCAGTAGCTTCTTCAACGGGTCAAAATACGAGGGTCATCCAAAAAGTAAGGTTCCCTACCTTGCATCTTCCGAACGAAAAAAGATAAATCAAATCTGTAAAAATTCACGTATTAGACATACTCTAAGCTTTCAAACAAGACCAAGTTTTTGAAAATCGGTCAAGGGGTTCGCGAGAAAACTTAATTTTACTGAGACAACCCCCTGTCGCCGCGTGCCCACCTCCGGGGTCAGGATGCGCAGAGAGTCGATTATTTCATACTCGGGTATTCGCTTATAAACATCACATTAAAAAGGAATTTAAAAGGATTCATTAAGTAGGTCTTACCTGACTTTTTGACGTAGTCTCCACATCTTTTTAGACATTTCTGGTATCATTACAGCAGCTTCTTGATTCCGTCCGCGTAAAAGCTCTCGCCTTGGCTCCAAAACCAGTCATTGACAGCGATCTGTACCTCTGAATCAGTTGCTTTTTGTCGGGAAATTTTCCCCCAATCCTCCATACTTTGTTAATTTAGCCTTATGTGACTTCCATCTGTTCCCGAGCGGAAAAACTTTCACGATTAAAAGCGATTGCCAACTGATTCAGAGGTACAGATCGCTGTCAATGACTGGTTTCGGAGCCAAGGCGAGAGCTTTTACGCGGACGGAATCAAGAAGCTGCTGTAATGATACCAGAAATGTCTAAAAAGATGTGGAGACTACGTCAAAAAGTCAGGTAAGACCTACTTAATGAAAACTTTTAAATTCCTTTTTAATGTGATGTTTATAAGCGAATACCCGAGTATGAAATAATCGACTCTCTGCGCATCCTGACCCCGGAGGTGGGCACGCGGCGACAGGGGGTTGTCTCAGTAAAATTAAGTTTTCTCGCGAACCCCTTGACCGATTTTCAAAAACTTGGTCTTGTTTGAAAGCTTAGAGTATGTCTAATACGTGAATTTTTACAGATTTGATTTATCTTTTTTCGTTCGGAAGATACAAGATAGGGAACCTTACTTTTTGGATGACCCTCGTAGTACTTTTTTCTTCAATGAAATTTTTCCAAGAGTGCTTTTCAAAGGGGATACACAGTGCTCGAAACGGCAAATAAATTGTGTTGTCTGCATTTTGGCAAAGGTCATGCACCGAATCTTGTAAAAATTGGCATGCACTCATAATTTGATAGGCTAATTTCATTGCCAGCGACAATAGAAAGATCAAAATTTTAGTCAAGAAATGGGTCTGGGGCTAAGGGGGCCGATAACTTGGTTTTCTGGCGCATAACGGTGGTATTTATTTGGACCCCCCAAAACCCCGCTTTTAACCAAGATTTTGATTTTTCTTATACCACTGATGAATTTAGCGCAGGAACGAATGGGCGAACACAGATTTTCATGCATTACCGCTGCCAAAATACAGAAAAAACTATTTAATTCTTAAAACTACGGCGAGAGTAG